TTTGGCAGGGAGCAATGAAGGGTCTGCCCAGCCTTGGAGGGAACAGTGGATGTTTTCTGGGTGCACTTTATAACTCAGGTCTGTTTTCCCTTCCTCCAGCGTGTGGCCCAGGAACCTTCAAATCTAAGCAGGGGGAAGGTCCCTGCTCTCCCTGCCCTCACAACAGCCGGACCACCTCCGGAGCAGCAATGGTCTGCACGTGTCGAAATGGCTTTTTCCGGGCGGACACGGACCCCGCAGACAGCGCCTGCACCAGTGAGTCCTGCCCTGGGCGAGGAGGGGAGGCGAGGGGAGGTGTGGAGGCAGCAGAGGTCCGCGCCCAGGGTGGGGGGGAGTGTGCTGTGCCCACACCAGAGGTGGGGCAGTCACGGGGGCACGCCATCCCTGACCCCCACATTCCCCCCGCAGGCGTCCCCTCTGCCCCCCGCAGCGTCATCTCCAACGTGAACGAGACATCACTGGTGCTGGAGTGGAGCGAGCGGGACGACCTGCTCTACAACGTCATCTGCAAGAAGTGCAGCGTGGAGCGGCGCCTGTGCACCCGCTGCGACGACAACGTGGAGTTCGTGCCGCGCCAGCTCGGCCTCACCGAGCGTCGCATCTACATCAGCAACCTGATGGCCCACACCCAGTACACCTTCGAGATCCAGGCGGTGAATGGCATCTCTAACAAGAGCCCTTACCCTCCCCATTTCGCCTCTGTCAACATCACCACCAACCAGGCAGGTCAGTGGAGCTGCCGAAGAGCAGGGGCTGGCTCTCCGCCGCAGCGCAGAGCGGGGATTTCTTGCTGACAGCCTTGGAGGCTGCAGTCCTTTGTGCTGCCGCGTTACTGGCTCTCCGCGCCTGCATCTAATCCCCTGGGTAAATTCTCCTCTCCGTTTAACGCGTGTCCCTGGAGGAGATGAGATCAGAACTCATGCAAGCGGAGAAGGGCAGGGTTGGCAGATGCTCCAGAGAGCTCTGGATCTCCTAGACCTACCCCAGAGATGTTGTGCCTGCTGCGAAGAGAGGAGGAAGGAAATGAGATTTCTCCCCTGTGGGCCTGGGAAGGCTCAGTACCAGCCCAAACCTTTGCAACCGGCTGAGTGCTCTGCCATTCCCTCCTTCCTCCCACTCTGGCCTGGCTCCAGCGTGCTGGTAATCTCCAGCCGCCGCGCTCTGATCTGATTTCATGGGTCTCGTCGGTGGGGTGGAGCGCGGAGTTCCTGGCGAGTGGAGGAGGGGAAGGAGCCCTGGTTTGGGCTGGCAGGACCCTTCCCCAGACCGGTTTGCAGCTAGGCGTGGGGTGAAGCGTTACCTCGGTGCTATTTCCGAGGCTCCCCTTGGTTCCTTGCCACCTTAGCTGCAAGACGTTGAGATCGCATCTCCCTACAGAGACTTGTGGGAGGCCAGTCTCAAAGCTTTTCCATGCCTTTCCCCCAAGGTTATCCGAGCAGGTCCCAGGCAGAGAGTCCCCTGCGCCGATGCGGGATGGTGGAGGGGGGAGCCTGGCACAGATGGCTCATTCCTCCCCTGCCCTCTTTCCTAGCCCCGTCTGCCGTGCCTACGATGCACCTGCACAGCAGCACCGGGAACAGCATGACGCTGTCGTGGACTCCCCCAGAGAGACCCAACGGCATCATTCTTGACTATGAGATCAAGTACTCGGAGAAGGTAAAGCAGGAGGCAGAGCAGCCTTGTCCCTCCGCCAGCTCTTCTGGCTGGCCGTCAGCACCATGGCAAAGGGGGTCCCTGCAGAGACAGTGCCTGGGGGATGTGGGAGCCAGCAAAGGGGGCATTGCTTCACAGAGGTGACACCCACATGTCTCCCCTACAGCAAGGCCAGAGCGATGGCATCGCCAACACAGTCACCAGCCAGAAAAACTCAGTACGGCTGGACGGGCTGAAGGCCAATGCTCGGTACATGGTGCAGGTCCGGGCGCGGACAGTGGCTGGATATGGCCGCTACAGCCTCCCCACGGAGTTTCAGACAACTGCGGAGGACGGTAGGTACCAGGATGGGGCTGCCTCCGTCCCCCAGCCCTCCTATGCGTGCTCCTTCCACAGCTTGACTTGAATTCCTGCCTCTCCCTCTGTCAGGCTCCACCAGCAAGACTTTCCAGGAGCTGCCTCTGATCGTGGGTTCGGCCACTGCGGGGCTGCTATTCGTCATCGTTGTGGTTATCATCGCTATCGTCTGCTTCAGGTACTGGCTTTGCAGGGAGGGGGGGTTCAGAGCTGGGTTTGGGAATTGCTCACGTCTGCCCCAGAGCTTTCCCCCTTGCCGGTGGGTAGACCTCTGGCAGCTCCAGTCTGAGAGCGAAGGACTGGACCTGCTGCACGTGGGTCCTGTGGGAGGACTGTGCATCCCTGCTTCCCCAGCACCAGCTGGGGCTCTGCCCAGGCTCCTGCCATCCTCTCTCAGCACAACTAGGCCATCTTCTCCCATTGCACCTCAAGCAGAGAGATGGCTCTGCTCACAGGCTGCCGGAGGGGAAGCTCTCTGGCATAGGCTGTCCGTGCTGGGATTTGGAAGCTGGCAGTGAATGTCTTTGCCCCATCAGGAAAGGGATGGTTACTGAACACCTCCTCTCGTCTCCTTTGGGCAGGAAGCAACGCAACAACACAGACCCTGAGTACACCGAGAAGCTGCAGCAATATGGTGAGTGTGAGAGCTCTGCCTGCTTTGCTCCCCCAGGAAATGGGCTCTGCCTGCCCTCTACCAATTCCTGCCTCCTGCACAAGCGAAGAGGCAGCCTTTGCTAGCCAGGGACTGGGAGGGATGGGCTGACAGCCGGCCAAGCTGGCTCAGCATCTGTCACCTGTGTTGCGTCCTTCCTGGTGATGACTCCTCTGCCCTTGCAGTCACCCCTGGGATGAAGGTCTATATTGACCCTTTCACCTATGAGGACCCTAATGAAGCCGTCCGGGAATTCGCCAAAGAGATTGACATTTCCTGCGTCAAAATCGAGGAGGTCATTGGAGCAGGCAAGTCCCGGGGCTGGGCACAGCAGCTGCTGAGACCACCGCCTCTCACCCTGCCACATGGCTCACCGTGCCATCCCCTTCTCCCCTTCCCCACCGCAGGGGAATTCGGCGAGGTGTGCCGCGGGCGCCTGAAGCTGCCCGGCCGCCGCGAGATCTTTGTGGCCATCAAGACGCTGAA